TATTAGTCCAGATGGCTGCTGGGAAGACTTGGGACCAGCATGCATTTCTAATATTTTCTATCTATGTTGTTTAAAATATGACTATATATGCTCTTTGAACGTCTTCCTATACAGATATTTTTAAGAGTTCACAGGTTGTTCACGTTACCTGCGAACTGGAGTAATTTGTATATGTGGGAACAATAAGAAGGGAGGGATCCCCGGTCTCGATTCTCAGGCTATTAATGGAGTTTTCCTTTATAAAAAAAAAAAAGAAGGGGAAGTGCCAAGTGGCCTAGCTCAGTTGGTACACCTACGAACTGTTGAAATGCAGACCTGAGATTGAATTTCAATGGAATCTGATGAGTGAAGATGACTCTGAAAAAAAGAGTCTGAATTTACCTGGGGCTGGTCAGTTCAAAGCTGATATCTCGAGGCCATCGCCCTTTATAGAAAGGGAAGTAGAGGGGCCAGGGGCCTAGCTCAGTTGCTTGAGCATGCAAGTGGTATTCAGGAGGTCGTGGGTTCAATCCCCCACGGCCACCTGCAGTAGGCTTGGTGTTTACCAGCTGAGATAGTTGGCTTGCCCCGCCTGGCCGGTCTTGATAGGAGTCTGGGTTGCCCCTGGCATCCCGCGCCCGGGGTTAGGAGCTTAGGTGCTACTCCCTGCATAGAGCAGAGTAGAGAGGAAGTACCCTTCACACTTTCTTTGCATGCCTGAAGAGTCAGAGTCGGGACTGCTGACTGATTTTGGCACCCCGACCTTGCAGTCAGCAGTCCCGACTATGACTCCTCGCACGTGCAACGAAAGTCTGCAGCAAACGAATTCTAGAAAGTCTTGTAACAGAGGCAGCCTTTCTTTGTGTCTGCAAAGGGAGTCATGGTCATCGGACTTTGTGGCTGCAAGTTGGAACAATTTTTCTTGAGTGTGTGGGGCTCATCCTGGCAATTTGCCTATTGGGTATGGTCATGCTTTATTGAGCTCTCTGAGCCCTTGTTTTGCTTGCCCTTTGTTCCTGCTCCTCCCTGCCGTCCTCACTCCCCCCCCCAACACACAAACACACACCAACTGTCACCAAGTGCCGTCCTGTCCATTTTTGTATGCTTATTTTACCGAATCTCTGTCAATTTGATTGTTGTCTGTATTCCAGCATTCCAGAGTTCTTCACAGATGCGGACATCTTTGTCTCAAGGCATGAGGGGATGAGCGACCTGGCAGTACCAGAATGGGCCTGCGACTGCACCGACTTCATTTCATTGCATCGCGGTGTATGTCTCTTCTTTTCTTAATGAGCTTAACGTTCTCTTAGCAAGGACATACCTCCTTTCCGCAGGTGCCGTTTTTCATTTTTGACACGTGGTCCAACTCACTAGTACCTTTCCCGCGTGGGAAAATAGGGAAAACTGGCTGTTTTCCCAATCGCCTGAATTTTCGGAGGTCGGGCCCGACGACGACTGCCATTGATAAATCTGATCGGCGGCCGTCGTTTCGTTTCGGCCTCCGAAAAGGTCGGTGGCCCACCGGAGGCCCGCTATTTTCCCACACTCCAAAGGTACTAGTGGTTTAATACAGCTGTCTTCTCCTCATACGGGGGACAGTTGTATTTTTGTCCTACCCTATTTTCTTCTCTTTTTCCTCACTCAGCTATCTGTATCTATATACCTAACCCACAAGCGCTATCTAGCTGACAATGGATCAGAAGGAAGCTTAAATTCACTAGCCAGAGGTAAGCTATCCTACAGTTATGGGCCTACGCCTACCTATCTCTGCTCTGTGCGGGGAGCAGTACCCAAGCTCCTACCACCTGGCGCGGGCTGGAAAGAACCAATCTCTTCCACAACCATTCAGGAGGCCCAAGCCAACAGTCTCCGCTGGTGAGCCCGAAGCATACCCCCCCGAAGTATACCCCCAGGAGGCCACAGGGATCGACCCCAAGCGGGCTAGCTCAGTTGGTTGAGCATGATGTGCGTGGCATGTTTCTGTGTCTTAATTGATGGGTATGTGTCTGTTTTCTTTTGGTGTGATGTTGTTCGCTTTTGACATGGTAGTCTCTGCGTTCGTTCCCAGGAGGCTTCCTGCAAACATTCTTTTCTGCCCCAAAGCAAATGGTTCCTTTTTGGTCCCTTGAGGCAGGAGGACTTGAGAACATGTGCACCATTCTTCTTAGCCTGGGGCTACTTGAAGAAGTTCTTTGCCTATTGGCAGCATGCAGCACTGGAAGAGAAACTACCTTCTTTCCCCGAACATAACGCATAACACGTATTCGAGTTTATTAAAAAAAAAAAAAAAAAAAAAAAAAAAAAGATTAAAAAATTGAATAGAACACGTGTTATTCCAAAAATTAGGGCTATTCGAATAGAACCATAGTTGTGGCGCACTGCCCCGGTGCACGATGCGGTGCGGTGCGCCGTGCGGGATGCGCTCAGGGACACCGCGTGCGCACTGGGCGCACCATGCGCACAGCGCACCGAGATGCGGTGGTGCACAGGGCTGCGCACTGTGCGCGGTGCTGTTTTTTTTTTTTTTTTTTTTTTTTTTTTTTTTTTTT